GAACACAGTCCAAAAGCCGTTGTTCACATCAGACACATCTCCGGCAGCTATGTAAAGGAAAGGAAAGGAAAAGTACATTGTATCATTTCCTACTAACAGATAAAAACGACTACATACGCCTTGAAGCGAATAGCAGCATTCTCTAATAGGTCTCATTTATTTTTATATTTCCCCAGGGCAAGCTATAGAGAAAGAATGACAGCAGTGCTACGTATATAATAGAGGTACTGTATATAAGATGAAAGTCTCTTGCAGAGAAACTCCAAAATGCAGGTTCATAGAATATTCATAACAGAAGTGTTTTGGCCCAGGATTGCAAGGAGTTTGTAGCCGCTCCATAGGCAACACAAAAGACAAGAGTGTTGCTTTTAAGAATATGTGGCACTTTAGAAACGTCACTAGTTCTCCAGCTTCCTTATATGAGGAAAAGGCTGCATACATTTTAATGTTCTCCTCTGCTTCTGCTTCTTCCATTACTGGAAACAAGATAGCAGTGTTGTCTGTGTTTTGAATATATGTGAGGGTGGTGGAGAGAGAATCCATAATATTAACTCTCTTCTTAAGTTTTGTATGTAATCACAAAACTCTGCTCAATATATGAGCTCAGTGGCTAACTCATTAACTTTCACATGTCCCATGTCAGGCATCATGCATACTTCCCTTATGCTTTGTTTCCAAAGAGATTTTCCTTCTGAAATTACAAGCCTATGTGTAAACAAATTCTATGCACACACCTTATTTAAAAGGGGGAAAGTGTTTTAACTCCTTCCGAGGTTCTTAACCTGTGCTCTGCAGACCCCGAGGTGGTCACAGTGTCCTTACAGAGGGTCTTGTGAAGGGTTGGAGAGATGTTATGATTATTTGGAGCTAAAATAGAAAGAAAGAAATCTTAATTTCCCTTGCTTGTTTGTATAAAATTTGGTTTTTCTAACTTATCACCTTTGTTATTGTTATTGTTCAAAAATACCAGACAGTCAATCAAAATCACGAAAACATTGACTATATTATATAACATACAAGTTTTAAGCAATATCCTAAGCATCTGTTAAGTATCAGTGCAGTATGTATGCTGTTCCTAATATTGGTGTTTTTGTAGTTCTGATGGTGTTATTTCTGAGATCTGCAACTGTTTATAATACTGTGTGAAATGTCTTGATATTGTTCCCAAAGCCCCAATGAGTACAGGGACCACTAAAGCATGCTTCATCCACAAGTGAGATGTTTCAATTGCCAGATCCCTGTATTTTGTTTGTTTTTCCAATTCTTTATTTTCAGTTCTGGAATCCCCTGGAATTGCAATGTCAATGATCCAGATATTTCGTCATTCTATTACTACTATGGTGTGTTATGTTCAAGGTGTCTACCATTTTGCATGTGGAAATCCCACAATATCTTGACTTCATCATTTTCTGACACCTTCTTTACCTGATGTTTCCATGGGTTTTTAGAAATTATCAAGTTATATTTTTTGTATAATGACCAGTGCACTAATTTTGCGGCCCTATCATGTCCAATTTAGTAATCTCTTTGTGTAGTCTTTGCACATTTGCAAATGAGGTATGTCACAGTTTCACCTGTTTCTTGGCAGAGTTGACATTAGAAGTAAGCACCTGTTTCTTGAATCTTAGCTTTCATCACATTGGTTTGCAGTGCTTGTTCTTGCGCAGCCTGGTCTATCCAGGCCATGTTAAGGTTTGATTTTCATCTTTTTGCATTCTTTAGTATCATTTTTTAATAAGCAGCTGTTATTTCATGCCTCTTGAAAGTTCCCTTTCTGTTGAGTTGGGTATAGGGAGTTTTCAGTTAAATTATTATATATTGATCTTGCAAGTGCTCCTGTGAGGAGCTTGAACATTGATGGAAGTCATGTAATTGGTTGATAATTTGCTGGGTTCATTGCCCCTTTGATGATCTTTTATTATCAGAAATGTGTGGCCAGTTGTCATCAAGTCTTCAGTTGTAGATTTATAAAGTAACGGATTAAATTGCCCTGCTATATGTTGATAAAAACTTGTTAAATGCTTTAGCCAAATCCGTGCAACTCATCTGGACTTTTACTTGTCTCTTACTCATTTCAGTTGTTATTACAATATCATCCATATGTTTTCCTTGATTTTCTTTACTAATCCTCTTTTCCTTGATGATTATGGATTTGAGGAAAAGAGCTCTAGCAGCATACAAAGCCTGTCCTAGTGAGTACAACTTGCAGGTTCTTCGAGTTGCTCGTAGCAAAGTCCAACAGACTGCCAGGAGATATTCTAATGATTATTGGCTTCAGCTCTGCTCTCCAATACAGATAGCAGCAGACACAGGTAACATCAGGGAAATGTATGACAGTATCAAGCAGGCTTTAGTTCCAATATGGAAGAAATCTGCTCCTTTGAAGACTACTACAAGTGTGATCATCCAGGACTGAGCACAGCAGATGAAACGCTGGGTGCAGCACTACTCTGAGCTACATTCTAGAGAGAATGTAGTAACCAAAGAGGCATTAAATAACATTGAGTGCCTGCCTGTCTTGGAAGAGCTGGACAGCAAACCAATTTCAGAAGAAATAAAAGTGGCCTTGGATTCCCTTGCCTCTGGCAGGGCACCAAGGAAGGGTAACATACTTGTTGAAGTGCTGTAAAGAAACCATCACCACTGAGCCGTATGAAATCTTTTGTCTTTGCTGGAGTGAAGGTGGAGTACCACAGAACATGAACGATGCAGACATCGTCACATTCTACAAGAACAAAGGAGATAGGGGTGACTGCAATAACTACTGTGGCATCACTCTTCTCAGTGTTGTAGGGAAGCTGCTTGCCCGTGTTGTGCTGAAGAGGCTCCGGGTGCTTGCAGACAGAGTCTATCCAGAATCACAGTGTGGATTTTGAGCTAATAGATCCACCATTGACATGTATTTTCCCTCAGACAGTTGCAGGAGAAATGTAGGGAAGAATGACAGCCACTCTTTGTGGCCTTCATGGATCTTACAAAGGCCTTTGATTTGGTTAGCACGGACAGCCTTTTTAAAAATACTTCCCAAGATTGGATGTCCACCTCGACTCCTTAACATCATCAGGTCTTTTCATGAGGAAATGAAGGGCACTGTAGTTTTTGATGGCTCAACGTCAGATCCCTTTGACATCTGAAGCAGAGTGAAACAGGGCTGTGTCCTCGCGCTGAACCTGTTTGGGATCTTTTTTGCTGTCATGCTGAAGCATGCTTTTGGAACTGCTACAGAAGATATCTATCTCTGGACTAGATCAGATGGAAAGCTCTTTAATCTCTCTAGATTGAGAGCGAAGACCAAAGTGCAGCTGAAAACCTCTTTGCCAGCGATGTAACTGTTGCCCATTCTGCTGAATAACTCCAACAACTTATGAATCATTTTAGTAAGGTCTGCCAAGATTTTGGACTAACAATCAGCCTGAAAAAAACACAAGACATGGGCCATGCGTGGACTCTCCTCCCTCTATTACCATCTCCACACAAGAACTGGAGGTTGTTCATGATTTTGTGTACCTTGGCTCAACGATCTCTGGCACTCTCTCTCTAGATGTTGAACGGGATAAATGCATTGGCAGAGCAGCTACCATGCACTCTCTCTCTAGATGTTGAATGGGATAAATGCATTGACAGAGCAGCTACCATGTCCTCTAGACTCACAAAGAGAGTATGGCTTAATAAGAAGCTGACGGCATATATGAAGATCCAGGTCTATAAAGCCTGTGTCATGAATACACTCCTGTACTGCAGCGAGTCCTTTGTGCACAGCAGGAGAGGAAGTTTAAAACGTTCCAAATGCATTGTCTCTGATGCATTTTTGTTATCACCTGGCAGGACAAAGTTCCAAATAGAGTAGTCCTAGAAGGAGCTGGAATTTTTAGCATGTATACATTATTGAAACAGTGACGTTTACATTGGCTTGGGCATGTCGGGAGAGTGGCTGATGGTTGGATTCCAAAAGATCTCCTGTATGGAGAATTAATGCAGGGAAATCGCCCCAGAGGGAGACCACAGCTGCGATACAAGCACATCTGCAAGCGGGATCTGAAGGCCTTAGGAATGGACCTCAACAAATGGGAAATCTTGACATCTGAGTGTTCCACCTGGAGACAGGCGGTGCATCATGGCCTCTCCCAATTTGAAGAGACCCTTGTCCAGCAGGCCAAGGCAAAGAGGCAGTCGTGAAACCAGCAAAACCAGGGAGCTGGACCAAGGGACAGATTGTATTTGTCTTCTGTGTGGAAGGAATTGTCACTCTCGTATTGGCCTTCTCAGCCATACTAGATGCTGTACCAAGACCTCTATTCAGAGCATGTTACCATAGTCTCTTGAGACTGAAGGATGCCTACACACTTTACAAATGTCTTTAATCCATGAGGCATTTTTGTTATGTCTGGTCAGGCTTTCTCAAATTTATTTCCAAAATTTTAGAGCATCATCTTTACATGGGCTTTTGCTCTGCATTTTCTCCTAGTGATTTATAACATAATCATTGGTTGTTGTTATTTTAGATTGGTGTGGAATAATTCCAGCAAAAATACTATTATAGGAGTATGTGCATTAACAGATCCACCTGTTTCTCATTTCTCTCTAAATCTGAAGACCCTTAATGAGAAACTTTTGATGCACTTTAGGGTTTTAAATCTTGAGTTAATTCTTGTGGTCTGCGACAACAAAAGATATTTAAAGGGGGTCTGTGGTAAAGAAAAAGGTTAAGAACCACTGTTTTAACTGAAAACATCCCTTCTTTTTCTTGTGACTATTAGTTTCAGCAACAGATTTGACAGTGGCAGTAATAGTAATAGGGGACCCTTGGGGTCCATATGACTCATAGTCTGCATGCAGCCAACTGTTGCCTACTATTTGATGGGATAAACTGGCAATCCATGCACAAGTAGAATTGAGCACACAATTTTGGCATTTGTGCCAATGTCTAGAAAATGATCTGCACCCTTAGAATGTACATTCTTGGTCTAGTTTTCATTTTTCACTGTTTTTGTATTCTGTAGATCCTTTTCGCACCTTAATACAAGAAGACATACTGGCTGAAGGAGATGTGACCTGTGCCAAGGAAGACATGGCCAATATGCAGGACGGCATTCTAATGGCAGTGGTGGTCACAGGTCTTGGAATGTTGTGTCTGGGAAGTTTAACAGCAGAGGATTCCCAGTGCCTGCGGGTTAAGCACCCTGTTGTTACGAGTGAAGGTAAGTAACCAAGAAAGGGGCTTTGAATTGCAAAAGAAAGTGGAGCAGATTTAAACACTAAGATCTTTATCACAGGAAGGACAGTAGAAGTGATAAGTTTTGCACCTTCACTCAGGTAGTAGATACCTGACTGTATTCAGAAAACCAAACTTTATAGGTTAATGACTGGAAGCTTCTACTTATGGCTGATACACATTTTATGTTTCACTTCTTTTTGTCAAATTAGTGGGCCAGTCTATTAGTGCTCAGAAAGAGTGCATGTGTGGCAGTGGGCAGCATTTTGCTTTAGACTCTGAAGTGCATTATTTTGTCAGGATGAATCATCTGTAGAGGTGGCATTGTCAGAAGACACAGAAATGGGTGGCCTGACGGTTGGGTTGGAAAGTCACCCATGCACAGCCTTAAAGGCTTTTTAATCATTACAGCCAGTTTCTTGGTGCAAACCTAGGTAGCCAATACAAAGTAGCAGATCTGCCTTTCATCAAGTCAGGCAGTCAATCCATTTTTATCTATTCTAGCCAGCAGAAGCTCTTAAGTGTCTCTGGCAGAGAAATCTAGCCCTGTTATTTGAACTTGTTTGACTTGATATGTAGAAGATTAAACTTGGGATCTTTGAGTTTATGAAACACGTGGCTTGCCATGAGCTACGGCCATGCCCTGGGTGGTGTAACAGCAATGAAATTAATAATACTGGTTCTTTTTTTTCATGCTCTTGCCCACACTATTGCTTTTTGCATCATATTTTAGTGTTCTGTTGTGTGTTTTTCTTTTTAATTCTATATAAACATCCCAGAATAGTGCTTCAGCAATAATGGGGTGGTATATAAATTGCAATAATAATAAATAATAAATACCCAGTAGGATGAAAAATCTGTTCTCCTTTGTCTCGTAGAAATGTATAATCAGATTTTAGAGATGCTGCAGGAGTAAATGGGCTTTAGAGTTACATGCAAGTGAAGCAGTACCTTTATTTTGGGCCATTTGGCTGCCATCTAAAATGGTGTGCTGCTTCCTTGCATAATTTCTTTTCTTCTGCACACCAGGCTAACTTCCCTGAAAAGCTAACTCCCTCCAGTTTGTCTGATAAACATGTGTAGAGTCTTTGTCAGGGATGCAGAAACACTTACCAAAAGGGGAAGTTCAAGATTGCAGGCCAGTCATGGTGGATTTTGCCTCCATACAGCTGTTTTCGATCTGTTTATTTAATTGGACTCCCAGTGTGGTGTAGTGGATAGAGTGACAAACTAGGACTCTGGAGAATAGGGTTCAAATCCCCACTTAGCCATGGAAACTGGGAGAGTGGAACTGGTAAAAACACTCCTTAAATATCTCACTTACCTTGAAAACCCATTACGTTCACTATCAGTCAATTTTGATTGATAGCACAAAACACACATATTTAATTGGCTATGTAAATAAACAATCTGTCATACTACATTGAAGTATTGGAATCACACATACTGTTGACTAACAGTAATAAAGTTTGAAGTGTACCAAACGAAGCAGTTACAATGTGGCTGCTTGCCATGAAGTCAAAAGCAAAACAATGAGTGAAATGTTGCAGAATAAATAAAAACATAAAATTAATCTATTAAAGCAAAGGCAAATATATATATGTGCCTTTGCTTTAATAGATTAATTTTATGTATATATGAGCAGCCAATGCAAGGCAACCAGAGTGGGAGAAATATACTGATGTTTTCTCGTCCCACTAAGAAGTATGGCCGCCGCATTCTGCACCATTCGAAGCTTCCGCATCAATCTTAAAGGTAGCCCCACGGAGAGCACATTACAGTGGCCCAATCTTGAGATTACAAGCGCATGGACCAAAGTGGTGAGCACCCCACCATCAAGATAGGAACACAGCTGGGCAATCTGCCAAAAATGGAAGTAGGTCGAACGGACCACTGATGCCACCTGAGTTTCCATGGTGAGCACCGGATCCAGATGAACCCCCAAGCTGCAAACCTCACTCTTCGTGGTGAGAGTCACCCCCCTCCGAAAGTGAGGGAGTTTCCCAAACCACCAATGGAAGGGCCGCCAACCCTCAGGACCTCCATCTTGTCTGGGTTCAGTCTCAGCCCATTCACCTGCATCCATTGCAGTACAGCCTCCAGACAGCGCTGAAGGGACAGAACGGCATCCACTGAAGTAGGTGAAAAGGAGATGTAGAGCTGAGTGTCATCAGCATACTAATGGCAAGAAGCCTCACACCCAAGAAGCCTCACACCCAGCGGCCTCATATAGATATTAAACAGCATTGGGGAGATAATCGAGCCCTGCGGAACCTCACAGGTGAGACTCCATGGGGCCGAGACACTCTCCTAAGCTGGACTCTCTGGGGACGGTCCTCCAAGAAAAGGATAAGAGCCAGGCAAGTGCCAACCTGCCGATTCCCAACTTGGAGAGCCTCCCCAGGATACCATGGTCGATGGTATCGAAGACGGCTGGGATATTGAGGAGGACTAACAAGGACGTATTGAAGACAGCTGGGATATTGAGGAGGACTAACAAGGACATTTTGACCCTGTCAGCCTCCCTCAACAAGTCATCCAACAGTGCAACCAATGCTGTTTCTGTGCCATGGCGTGGCTTGAAGCCCAACTGGAACAGATCCAGGGCATTGGTTTCATCCAAAAGAGCCTGAACTTGGTCAGCCACCACCCTCTCCACCACTTTACTAAGGAAAGAAACATTGGCAACGGGCCTATAATTGCTAATGTCATCTGCCACCAAACTTGATTTCTTCCTCCTTGCCCTCCTGGAGAGACCCATTAATTATTGCTGTGGCCCATTCAATTGTTATAGGCCTGGCTGCTTTGATTAGCCAGGCCAGGCAAGGGTCAAGAGAGGAAGTGGTGGCCCGACAGCAATCAAGCACTTTGTCCACCATATCTGTCATCACAGGCTAAAAGAATTCAAATCTTACCAGGCAAGGCGGAGTGCTGGAAATCTCTGCTTGATCCACTGTATTCAAAAAAGGAGAGAGTTCCCGGCGAATGGCCTCCACTTTACATTTTAAAAATGCTGCAAATTGGTCTGGTGAAATACTAGCAGGAGACCCATCACAGACCAATTCCGGATAGCTCGTGAGCTATACGGAAAAGTTCTGCCTGCTGATTTGAAGCTTCACTGATCTGGTTAGCAAAGTGCGCTTGGCTAGCAGCCCTCACCATAGCAAGGTAATGGTTAGTTGTGATCCTGACAGCTTTCCGATTATAATCCATTGGGTCCCATATCCAATTGCACTCTAGCCTTCTCCTGTTTCGCTTCATCGCTCTAGCTACTGGTTAAACCAGAACACAGGCCAAGCTTTGCACCAGAGAGGGCGTTTAGGAGCAATCATGTCTATAGCCCTGGTGGCGGCAGCAAGCCAGCCATCAACCAGAGCCTCAACAGGAGCACCATTCAGATCAGCCGGAATCCCTCTCATGGAATCCTGGAATCCTAAAGGATCCAGTAGCGTTTGAGGGCAGACCATTAAAATAGGTCCATGCTCCCTGTGGGGAGGGAGAGTCACTGAGAGGTTACATTTTATTAGGTGGTGATCCGACCATGACAAGGGAACTGACACAAGGTCAATTACCATCAGACCACACTCAGTCGGCTCAGTGGAGAACAGCAGGTCTAGTGTGTGACTGCCCATGTGGGTGGGGCCTTTAACATGTTGGGACATGTCCAAGGACGCCATGGTTTCCAAGAACTCAAGAGCTGGATGAGAAATCTCTGCCTCAAATGGATGTTGAAATCACCCAAGACCAGAAGCCTCGGGGATTCCAACAGTGCCGTGGAGACCCAGTCTGCCAGTTCTGGTAAGGAAATGGTTGGGTCGCGGGGAGCGCGGTAACCCAGCAAGATAACAATACAATCCCTGGCCCCGATCAACATGTGGAGGGCCTGCAGAGGTGGGGCTATACCTTTTCCCACCTAACTCTTAAGGTGATTCATCTGCAATAGCAATCTTGTTCTTTTTGGTGCCTGATCTTTAACAAGCTTTTGACTGATTTTTCTTGAGGGGAGCACAAAGACCTTGATCCAATTGTGCCTGATCACCCACTCCCCAATATTTGCAGAGAATTGAGCCTTCCTCATGCCCCCGGTTTTGGAGTTTATGGTCTTAGTGGTCAAAGGTGTGGAGGAGTTACCTCTGATACTGCATGACCAGTCACATCAACATTCGGTAAACCATTTCTGATAGGCGGGAACAGTTCAGACAAGAAGTTATAACTTTTGAATGAATTCCTGAATACGGACCTTGTTTTGCAAAGTGATTTGTAGATACTGTAGTATGGGCTTGCTCTGTGCTAACTTTGAATGCATACTTCTAAAGATCACATTTCTGATTTTTTTAAAAAAAACATTCCTATCCACCTCCATGCTTTGATGCCAAGTTGTGCAGGTTGAGGGAGCCAGAGAAAGACAACGAGAAAGAGGAGGCAGTTAGAGATAAGGACAGAGAAAAGCCTCAGTGTGAGAGTGAGAGCCTGATCACACAACAGAATTGTTCCCTACTTACACCTGAGTTATATTGTTGCATAAATTTGCAATCACACAACGCAAGGCCATTATTGATTAATTTACCAAGCAAGTGGTGTAACTGCAATTTATTTCCCACTCACTGGGAAGCTTCTGTTATTTTGTTCCAATGGCATTTCTATATATCCCTTAGCAGCATGACATGAGTGCACAGCCCTATCAATTCGTTTTTGAGGGTGAGGAGAGAGAGGAGCTAGAGAGAGAGAGAAAGTAAACAAAATCAACACCAAAAACATATTTAAAGCAACATGGTACAACACTCAATTAAAAAACCCCTCTCAGACACAAAGGGAAAGCTCGCCTGAAGAGAAAGTTCTTTGCCTGCTTGCAGAAGAAGAGCAAAGATGGGACCAGCCTGGCTTCCCATGGGAGAGAGTTCTAGACTTACTGTCTAGCAATTGACACAACCCTCGGTGGGGGTGCTGGGTCCACTGAATGCAATGAAGATTTTCCAGAGATTCTGG